CACCTCATACCTATCAGATTGGTTAACATGACAAAACAGGAAAATGATAAATACTGAAGAAGATGAGGGAAACTCGGAACACTAATGCATTGTTGGTGGAGTTGTGAAGTAACTCATGCAACCATTCTGGAGAGCATTTTGGAACTATGTCCAAAGGGCAATCAAACTATGCATACTTTTTGACCAAGCAATACAACTATTACATCTGTATCCCAAAGAGATCATAAAAAAGGGGATAGGACCCATATGTACAAAAATATCTATAACAGCTCTTTGTGTTGTGGCAAAGAATTGGAAATTGAGAGGATGCCCATCAATTGGGGAATTGGCTGAACAAGTTGTGGTATATGAATGTAATGGAATACTATTGTGCTGTAAGAAATGATGAGCAGGCAGATTTCGTAAAAACCTGGAAAAAAAACATGAACTGATGCTGAGTGAAGTGAACAGAACCAATACACAGTAACAGCAACATTGTGCTATGATCAACTGTGACAGACTTAGGTGTTCTCAGCAATACAATGATCCAAGACAATTCCAAAAGACTCATGATGGAAAATGATATCCATATCCAGAGAAAGAACTATGGAGTCTGAATGCAAATTGAAGCACACGATTTTCACTTTTGTTTTTTATTTTTCCTTTCTCGTGGTTTTTCCTTTTTGTTCTGATTCTTCTTTCACAACATGACTAATGTGGAAATATATTTAACATGATTATACATGTATATCACATATCAGCTTGCTTGCTGTCTTGGAGGGGGGAGGGGAGGGAGGGAGAAAAAATTAGAATTCAGTCTTACAAAAATGAATGCTGAAAACTATATTTACTCAGGAAAAAAATAAAATACTATTAAGCGAAAAAATAAAATAACATGGTTTTTTTCTTGGGAAAAAAAACAACAACCAGAAACAAACAAATCATGAGCTATGCCGTGCAGGGTCACCCAAGATGGACAGGTCATAGCGGAAAGCTCTGACAAAGAGTTATCCACTGGAGAAGGAAATGGCAAACCATTCCCGTATCTTTGCCAAGAAAATCCCATGGACAGTTTTAAAATGCTAAAAAATATGACATCGAAGGTTAAGTACTTCAGGTCAGAGGACAGAAGGGTGCTATTGTCCACGGTCATGAAGAGTTGGATACAAATGAACAATAACAACATGGTCATAGCTGTGCCTAAGGAAAATTCCTTGGGCAGCAATGTGCAGGATGGAGTAGAGCGATTTGAGATGGGGTAACTAATTAGAAGCTATTGCAATATTCTAGGTGAGAAGTGATGAGGGCCTAAACTGAGATGGCATCTGTGTGAATAGAGAAAAAGGGGATATTGTCAAGGGAGAAATGACAAGATTTGGCAACTGACTGGATACATGGATTAAGAAGAGTGAGAGACTGAAAGATAGTAGTGACTTCAACAAAAATGGGCAAGTCTGGAAGAGGAGGACAGTTAGACAGAAATACAAGTCCAGTTTAGGCCTCCTGAGTTGATGATTTCTTCGAGAAATCTAGTCTGATGTATCCAGTAGGTAGCTGTTATACAGGACTGAAGCTCAGGAGACAATCTAGAGCCAGATATGTAGATCAGTTATTATCTACATTGAGAAATGAGTTAAACCTATGGGATCTGATGAGGTTAGTAAGAGAGAGAGTATAGAGGGAGAAGAGAACAGGACAAAACATCTGCAGTTGTGGGGCTTGACTGAGAAGGACCAGTCAGGAGGTGACCCAAGAAACAGCAATGTCACAAGAATCCAGAGAGGGCAGAATATCCAGGAGGAGAGGGTGGTCAATGGTGTCAGATGCAGCAGACGGGTTAAAAAGGCTTAGAAGTGAGAAAGGCCATCAGATTAATTAATTAGGAGATCACTGGTAACTTCAGAGAGAGCACTTTTAGTCAAATGATGAGGTCAGCAAAGGTTGAAAAGTGGTGGAGAAGGTATAGACAATTTTAAGGAATTTGGCTGAGAAAGAAAAGAGAGATGTAAGATGATAGCTTGAGGGGAGGGTGGGGTCTAGTGAAGGTTCTTTAAGGATAAAGAAGACTTGGCCATATTTGGAAACAGTAGGGAAGAAAGTGGTTGACTGGGAGAAGTTAAGGATATGAGAAAGAGAAAGGTGAGAAAGCGAAAGACTTCAGGCACAATCTTTAGGAGAAGGAAAGGGATGGCATCAAGTGTACCTGTAGCCAGGTTAGCCTTGGCATGGTGAAGGGCTACCCCTTTGTCAGAGACTGAGGAAAGTTAAGAGATGGTGTCAAGATTTCTGGGATGAAGAGAATGGAAGGAGAGGAAGCTCATGGTGAATCACCTGCTCAGGCAACTTATCTTCTCTCAGTGAAAAAGCCATGTTCTATAACTCCTGAATGTGACCTTGCTAGAGAGTTGATTCCCGAAGTTGATGTTGCATAGGGTTAGGGTTAAGGTTCTCTTAGAAGGCTACTGCCCAGGCCTCCCTCCCACTTACCCAGGACACTGGGGTTCAGGAACACTACATGATAAAAGAAACGCAAATTAAAACAACTCAGAAGTTCCCCTTTACACTTATCAAATTAGCAAACATGAAAACAGTCAATGCTGGACGGTCGTGGACAGTCAGGCACATTAATACACTGTTGGCAGAGCTGCGAATTGGTCCAACCATTCTGAAAACAACTTGGAATTATGTGTTAAAAGTTAATCAGTTGTTCTTACCTTTCGATCTAGAGATCCCATTACTAGGCACATAGCCCAAAAGCCAAAAATAGAAAGGTTCTATATATACCAAAATATTCACAGCAGTGTTTTAAAAAAAGTTTTGTTGATGTCTTTTGTCTTGACATTATAGCTATTTCTTAACCCATCCCAGTTTGAACTCTTTGTGACAGAAAAAAAAATGAGCAAGAATATCTAATTCAGAAACTCATGTGCCAATGCATACAGCATTCTGTCCCAGAAGTCTCCACCTCCCTATTGCAAGGGATGAGTTATACATTATTATCTCTTCTCTAGAACATTCACTAGTTATTCATTACTCAGATTTCAATTTCCTTCTGAGAATAGTCTTTTATTTACATTGTTGTAGTCATACCTATTGTTCTCTTGGTTCTGTTTATTTTGCTCTTATCAGTTCATACAAATCTTTCCAAGTTTCACTGAATTCCTCATATTCATCATTTCTTACTGTACAATAATATTTCATTATTTTTGAATACCAGAGTTTTTTCAACGGCTCCCCAATCTGCAGGCACCCACTTTGTTTCTAGTTCTTTGCTATGACAGAGTACCACTATGAATTTTATATATCTATGTAAGATATATACATTTACACACATATGTATATATATTTATACACATGTATATGTATATATGTACATGTGTATATACATACATACATACATATACATATACATATATGTGTGTGTGTGTGTGTGTGTGTGTAAAATCGACCTCCCCCCCAAGTCTCTTGACTTGCTTGTGGTACTTGCCCAGTAGTGGAAGTGCTGGGTCCAAGGACATGGCCAGTTTAGTTACATCATTCCAAACCTAGATCCAAACAGTTGGACGGCTTTGTGGCTGCATGAGTATAGCAGCAGCATTATTTGTAGTAACAAACAACAGGAAACAAAGTAAGTGCCCATCAATTGAGGAATGACTGAACAAATTAGGCATATGAAGATAATGAAATAATAGTGCCCTGTAATTATCAAGGAGTAGAAGGAATCAAGAGAAACATGAGACTGCACGAGCTGATGCTGAGTAGAAAATGACTACAGTCATGTAAATGGAAGCAACAGTAAAAGACACCAGAACTCAGGTTGGGTGGAACGTCAAACGCTACTTCCAGAAATCCAACAAAATATACTTTCTCCATGGTAAAGAAGTGGAGGACTAAGTCTTTGGAATATTATGTGTGTTTTCAGGTAATTCCCCTGTATGGTTTTGTTTTACATAACTTTTTCTTTGTTACAAAGGAAATTGCTGTGGTGGTAAAGGGCATATGAGGAAGTAATTCTGGCCTAAAAAATAAAAGGCACTGATAAAATTTAAAAATCAAATGCCATAGGGTAGAAAAAGGGATTCTTTAATACATTATTTTGCAATTTTGATGTACTAAGGAATACAAAGAATGTACAATGATCAAGAAATCAAAAAATCAACAGGCATCTATTATTAAACACCTGGTAGGTGCCAGGCACTGGGCTGGGGGATGGGGATACAAATACAAAGAAAGAAACAATTCCTGTACTAAAGGAACTTAAATTCTAAGAGTTACATTAGGCATGGGTGAGACAGCACCTTATAGTGGAATAAAGCCTGGATCTGGAGGCAGAGGACCTTGCTTTGAACCCCTCTTCTGTACTGTGCCAACACTGTGACCTTGCAAAGGTCCCTTCAACTTTCTGGGTCTCACTTTTCTCATCAGGCAAATGGCAGCACTGGACTACATTAATCAATCAACAGCTGTTTAGAGGAACAGACCATGTGCCAGGCACTGTACCTATGAAGATAAAAATGAAATGGTCCCTGCCTTCAAGGAGTTTATATCCTGCAGGCAGTAATGACAAATACACATAAACACAAAATGTAAAGTAACTGGAGGGGGCACTAGCATAAGGCAGGGATCACAAAGTCCCCCATGTAGGAGGGGGTGCTCCATGTAAACTCTGAAGGAATTGAGGGATTCTAACAGATGGAGGTGAGGTGGCTTGGCCTGTGGGGCCACCTGGGCAGAAAGGCCAAGGAAGAACAGCAAGAAAGCCAGTGTGGCTGGACCACAGAGTGCATGCAAGGGCTTAATGCATGATAAGGAAAGGTGGGTTGAAGTTAATGTTAGACGGCTTCTAAGGTTGCTTTAGCTCTATGATCCAATGAACCTTATTTTATCCATAAATGGGACAGTCTTTGGAAAGGAGAATAACTGAGGTTTGTGTCTCTGAATGCAACCTTGTCAATAAAAAACAACAAGGGAAAAAGAAAGATGTGTCTACACTTGGAAAAATGAGATACTGCCTAGCTCACCTGGGACCTAGTTGTCAGGACCCCAGAAGCCATTCCCTCCTCTTCTTGCTCCTCCTTGTTTCTCCTTTCTTGGGAAAGGCAAGAGTCTTGAGAAGCCAGAACTAAAGAAGGAGAAAGATGTCATAAAGGACATCTGCTTTGTAGCTCCCCAAATTCATTGGAATAGAATTCCCCGATACCATCTGAAAGTGAGTCCCATGGTGCTTTCCAGGGTGAGCCTAGGAGCCTAGGAGCAGAACAACCTTCTAGAATCCGAAAGGACCACATATTCTAGTTGCTTGGGAGCCTTGGCTCTATTCCTCCTCTACTCATTACAAGTTCCAAGGGACAGAGCACTAGTGGAAGAACTGGGACACGGGCTGAACTTACGGCACTTCCCCTATGTGCTGTGCAAGAGGCTTTGGTACCTCAGCGATCTCTTCATTTAATGAAGAAAAAATATTTCTGTTCCCTTCCAACACTTAGAGGAAATGTGAGGAATTCATTTTTTACTGAATTCTTTGGGAAAAGTTTTTTGATGGGAAAGGAAAAAAAAGACTAACAGTCAAGACCCAAGATAAACCGAGAGAAAAAAAAAGTTCAAAACCTCTGATGAGTTTAAGTCCTGAGGCCCAGAGGAACTCCATGCCAGCCCAAGGAAAGGAGCAGAAGATGTGATGGCTGAGCCACGGCTGCCAGTGATCTCCAAAGGTCAGGCCAGACAAGGTCCCTGTTTCCAAAAAAAGAAGAGAGCAGAACTTGCAAACTATAAGCTAATGAGCTTGACCCTGATACCTGGCAAAATTCTAGAGGTAGGAACAAAGAGACAGCAAATATTTAGAAAAAAGACTCACAGCCAGGAGCCTGGCACCATCATAGCAGAGGTATGCCACGCTAACTTCCTTCCCTTTTCCAGTAGACACATGAGATAGGGTAGTCAAAAGCAGTACAGGTGGGTAGACTAGAAACTACTTGAATGGATGGACCCAAAGAGAAATTATTAATGGTCTCCAGTGCAATGCCCCAGTAATAAAGCTTTGTATGTGTGCCATTTAACACCTTTATCATACAGAAAGACACCAGCAACATAGAGGCAAAATGGACAGAGAGCTGGACTTGAAGCCAAGAAGACCTGGGTTCAAGTTCCACCTTTGACTTTACTTGACCTCTCAGTGCTCTAGGCAAGTGGTGCCTAACTCAAGTAGAGAGGGATTCCTGTGCAGCATAATGACTTAGAAAACCACAAACTGACATTATCTATATTGTATTTTTTATTTTGTTAGACATTTTCCAATTATATTTTAACCTGGTTCAGCCTTACTGCATTTGACACATTTTCTCTAGGCCACTCCTTTAAGTCCATAAGGTGCAGAGAAAGGGGCTGACCTGAATCAGTGGGGAGTTCCTTTACCAGTGAAATCCCAACTCCAGTCTCCACAGAAGACATGCTTATCAAATCTAAAGATGACACAAAACCTAGCAGGATAACTAATATTCTGGACAGACTAAGGATCCCAAAAGACCTTGAAAAACTAAAACACTGGACTCAATCTAAGAAGGTGAAAGTCATGGGGACAGATGTTAGTCTTACCCTTGGGTTCAAAACCTCAGTCTTACAAGCTTAAGGTGAGAATGGTGGAGAGAGACTGTAGTTCATCTGAAGGTTTTAGTAGAATACAGGAAGTGGGCAGTGTGATGGGACCATCAAAAGAGGCAATGCAATCTCAGGATGCATGAGAGGAAGTGTGCTAATTAGAGAGTATTGCTTTCCTCTCTCTCTCCTCTGGCCAGATGACATGTTGGGCACTGTGCTCAGTTCTGGGTACCACATTTTAGAAAGATCACTGACAAGGTGGAAAGTGTTCAGAGGAAGTCAGCTTTTATTTCTGGTTAGACACAGGTTGGACTAATTGGCCTCTGAGAAGTCTTTGAATTCTGAAATTCTCAGGTGGCAAATGAAGGTCTTGAAATCATGCCATTTAATAATCAGTTCAAAAAGCAAGGGTGTTTAAGTAGGCAAAGAGGAGGCAAAAAGACACACTTCTGCTTGGCTCTAAATGCAGAGCCAAGAACAATGGGTGAAATCTCCAAAGACGTATCCTTATAACAAACACAAAGAGCATCTTCTCAAAAGAACAAGGAGAGAGTTTGCAGGTTCTACATCTCTGGAGGTCTCCATCTGGACGCTGAATTACTGACTGCTGAGGGTAATGTTGATAAGTTTCCCTCACAGATACAACTAAGACAAAATGACATCCGAGACACCACTTAACCTTCCAATTCTGTGATAGCTTGTCAAAGTGATCTCTTTTCCTTTCTGCAAAGGTTACTAAACTAATATATAAGGAGAATGTCATAAGCATAAGATATTTTAACAAAGTTTCTTATATCCTTATGGACAAGATGGAGACATGAAGACTAGATTCAAAACTGGTCAAATGATTGCACCCGGTGTGGTGATTTAAGAAAGAGTCAATGTCAACTTAGACAACGGTTTTCTGGTGGAGTTCTCCAGCCATCTCTCTCTGTGTCAACTTCATTCAATATGTTTCTCAGGAGGCAGAGATGACAGTTAACAAGCATTTATTAAGTACTTACTGTATATTAGGCATTGTGCTAAGCACTGGAGATAGAAAGAAAGAAGAAACATGGTCCCTGTCCTCAAGGAGCTCATCTATTAAGAGGGGAGATAATACACAAATAACTACAGACATACAAGTCACACTCAGTGTAAATGGGAGGTAATTTCAGAGGGAGGGCACTACCAGTGGGAGTGACTAAGAAAAGCCCTTTTGCAGAAAGTGAGATTTGAACTGAGTCTTGAAGGAGGCCAGGGAAGGCAGGAGGAGGGGGTAAGGAAAGTGAGCAATGATATACTTATTAAATGTGGAATAGTGTATCACCAAAGCTGGATGGCTCATTAATCATATTAGATGAAATAACTGGTGTACAAAAAGATCTTGGCATCTTAGAACACAAGTCCCAAATCAGTAAGATAAAATTATGTAGAGAAAAAAAAAACCAAGTACAAAAGTTGAATGAGAACAACAGCTCATGTTTCATGTTTGTGATCCAGTAAGCAATGTTTCTATGTTTCTACATACTAGAGCATCAGAAAATCAATGAATTCCAGAGTTAGCAGCTGCCTAGCCCAATCATACTCCCTACATGAATCCCTACTTTAATATGCATGACAAATGATTTTCTAGCTCCTGTTTGATGACCTCCAAGAAGGAAATCACTATCTCCTGAGGCAGTCCATTTGACTTTTCAATAGCTCTAATTTTCATGAATTTTTCTCTGATTTAGAGCCTATTTGCAACCTGCCCATTGTTTGTGGGGATTGTTGTGGGAATTGACTCTGGGGATTACTCCCCCTCCCCCAAACAAGTGGAATCCCTCTTTGACAACACAGTCTTTCAAATGCTTCAGCATGGATGTCTTATCTCCCCAGATGAAGAGATTGGAGTAGATGGCCTCCAAGATCCTTATGTTCCTACGAGCCTTCTCTTCTGAAGGTTCTGCATTCCTTCAACTAATCCTTATGTGAAGGACTCAAGGTCCTTCACCATCCTGGTTGTCCTATTCTGGATATTCTCCTCTTATTAACATCCTTCCTCCAACAGGGCCCCCCGAACTGAACATGTAACTCCTGACGTGGTCTGCACAGGGCAGAGGGACCTATTTATTCCTAAAGGATGAGCCTCTCAATGCAGGTCAAGATGGCAGTAACTTCTTTGGCTTCCACATAATACTTCTGACTCAGATTGAGTTTACGATTCACTAAAAACCTTGGATCTTTTTCATCTAATCATGCCCCCTCCATTTTGTACTTCTGAAATTCCTTTTTGAAGCAGTGTATGACATTAAAACTGTCCCTACTGAATTTTATCTTGTTGTATTCAGCCCAATGTTCTAGACAGTATCTTTTTTGAACACCAATTCTGTCTTCCAGTATGTTAACTACCCCCCTTGGCTTTGTATCATTTGCAATTTTATAAGCATGTCATTTATGCCTTTACCCAAAATACTGATTAGAACATTAAGCAGTATAAGACCAAATCTGGAGCATTTCACTGAAGGCCTTCTGCCAAGATGACATTTAATCATTAATGACTGCTCTTTGAGTCTGGCCATTCAGCCAGTTCCAAAACCATCTAATTATTATCATCTACTCCATTGGAGGCAGCTTTGGAGAATAAGTTAAATCTTAGCATTGCTACTAGAAAAGGTGGGACAATGGCTCTATTCAAAGCCTCTGTGATAGCCCAGACCAGGGGTTCTTAATCCGGGATATGTGAACTTGTTTTTTAAAAAAATATATTTTGACCATTGTATTTCAACATAATTGGTTTCCTTTGTAATCCTCTGTAGGTTATTTTATATATTTAAAAACATTATTCTTAGAAGGGCTTCAGAGGTTTCACCACACTCCTGCCAAAGGGGTCTAAGACACAAAAAAGGTGAACCCCTGGTCTAAAACAAAGCTTCTTCCCCTTGGCTACCATTCCCTGATATGGGGGTCATGATCAGCCACCCTAATCTATATCTGGTCACTAGACCCAGATGGCTCCAGAGGAGAAAGTGAGGCTGGTGACTCTGCACAGCCCTCCCTCACTTAAGTCCTATTCACTTGCATGACATGGCATCGCCTCCCTGATGTCATGGTCACTTTCGAGAACAAAGGACGAACAACAACATTCCCTGATACATTTTCTAAAATGTAGGTCCGACCATGACACACCCCACTCAGTAAACACCAAAAAATTCCTTATTTAGGATCAAATAGAAATCCCTTTTTTTGGCATTTAAGGCTCTTTATGACCTGACCCGATATACCTTTTCCATCTTCTCATATTTCACTCTCCTCCACAAACTCCATGATGCAGCCAGCAGTGTCAGGAAATCCCAGAGAAGAGAGGGTAGGGCACTCCCCCTCCCATCTCCCCTTTACGTCATGTCTTCCTCATTAGAATGTAAACTCCTTAAGAGAAGCGACCATCTTCCCTTTCCTGTATTCCCAGCGCTTGGCACACTGCCTGGCACAAACTAAGTACTTTGTAAATACTTTATCTATTTAGTTATCTATTCAAGAAGAAGGGGTAGTCAGAGTCTAATATTGTAGACCAGAATGTCAGGCAAAACAAGATTAAAACGTAAATGGGAAATATTTAACAAAATGAATGAAAATGCCATACAACACAGATAATGTTAATTTGTGGTTTTCTAAGTCAGTATGGGGCCACAAGGATCATTTCTATTTGAGTGTGATACCACTGCCGCAGACCAGGAAGAAAGAAGATTGAGAAAAAGCCATTAGATTTAGTAATTAAGTGGTGAGGAGTGATGTTGGAGGAGCAGTTATAGTTGAGGGGTGAGATCAGAAATGAGATGGCAAGGGGTTAAGAAGTGAATAGTAGAAGTCAGTCAAGGACAATACACATTTTGTAGGAATTTGGCTACAAAAAGGAGAGATGTAGATAACTTAAGGAGATTGTGAAGGGAATGGAGAAGATCTGAGCGTATTTGTAGAGAAAAGGGAAGGTGACACTAGAGAGATATGTACACACAGTCAACTCAGTACCAATCCTGTGCACTTTTCTTTGGACCATGTTGATGAGGGTAAGGAATAAAATGAGGAGGAAGATGAAAGGTCTGAATAGCTCAGGCTGAAAGCTCATACAGACACCCTGCCTTAAGGCTTACAGAATACCTCAAATACATCATCCCATTAGATTCCTCACAATTCCATACAGTCAATAGGGTCAGAAACTACACAGACAGACAGACAGACATATCTTTAAGGTTTGCAAAGGGCTTCTCTCACGATTGCTTTCTTCAGAAGTCTAACTGCAGAGCGAATTCTTCGGTATAAAAACCCTCCACCGATATCAATACCAATTCAACTGCAACTTAATAGTCCTAAAAAGCCTGCAGCACGGGCTCATGATCCCGTAGCTAACACAGGTCAGAAGCAAGACTCCTCACTACATCAGTAGCCCTTCTGGAGGAAGGTACTATGACTTCAGAAATCAGAAATTTCAGAAGGTTTTATGATTTCAAAATTTAGAAATTTCAGAAAGGCATCATGACATAGTGGGCAGAACTGGCCTCTGAGTCAGGCAGACCTGGGCTCAAGTTCCACCTCTGACACCTCTTGGCTTTGTGATGCTCTCAGTGCCCCAGACAACCTTTATGTCTCTAAGTGGCACAGGTGACAATCTGTATTGGCAAAGAAAGACCCTCCTCCAGAGCTTCCTAGGAAATGAAACAAACAATAAAGAAAACCTTATTTACAAGACACAGCTTTCCAGGACTTTCCTGGCTGGCATTCCCCTGTGTTTCCACTAGACCACATCTCCCGAATCTCAATCTCTAACATTTAGTCTCTCCCATCATCTCTTCTGGTGGCTGCCAAGGGGATGTTCCTAAAGGGTAGGTCTGACCCTGTCCCGTCCCGACTCAGTGAACTCCAGGGGACCCCCTATTCCTCCTAGAGTCAGCTGGAGCTGGATGTTCCGGTCCAGGAGTCAGCCAACTCCGGCCCCAGCGCCCACAAGCAGGCTCTAGCTGGCTGACCCCTGAACGTCCCTCCATGGGCTGAGCACGAAAGCGATGGCCCGATGGACAGGGTGCCACACTTGAGTCAGTAAGACCCGAGTTCGAATCCCGCTCCAGACACTCTGCTGGGTGACTCTGGGTCAGTCAGTTATCGCTCAGCCTTAGTTTCCTCATCTGTAAAAGAAAAATAAATCAATCGGTCAAAGAGTGGGCACCTCCCCCAGGGAACTGCGGGGAGGGTCACAGGAGACACCGTGTTCGTGGTCCTCAGTGGGGGTCGTGGGTGAGGGGAGGCTGCCAGCCATCACCCACTCCCCACCTTCGGGCTCTCAGCGAAGCCCCTTCCCCAGCCCGTGGCGCGGCCTCCCTGAGGTCAGCCCAAGGTCGGACCACCTCCCCCCGCCCTTGGCTCGAGGCCCGCGGCGCCTCCTCCATTCCCTGCTCACACTCTGCCCTTCGCACACTCACACTCACCAACAGTAGCCGGGACTTCCCGCGAAAAAAAACCGAAGGGCTGAATGGAAAGCCCCACCCCCTGGGAACTGCGCCTGCGCAGGGTGAACAGCAAGCTATAATTCCCAGAATGCATTGGGCTCGGGAGTACGTATTTGGCTACGTATTCCGGGAAATGGAACCTCGTCCCAAGATAGGATTGCGCCCCCAAGGGGTTCTGGGAAATGTAGTCGAGGGTCGGGGTGGTGGAGGGAGGGGAGGGATTCTTCTGCGCAAGCGCAGGGTTGGATGTCTAAGGCTAAGCATCTCTCCTATGCTTAAGTCTGGAGTAGCTGAAGGGGACGAGGGGACACCTCCAGTGCACGGGGTCGTGCACCGGGCACCTTCCTTAACAAAAAACCCCAAGCGTGTCTGCAGACTGGGGTCTATGAGGATCCTTCCTCCCGCAGTGGGGAGCCCGGGGTCCCTTGGCCACATGTACGGCCAAAGCTAGGGCGCCTGTGGACTTGGGGGGCACTGCTGGGGGCATGTCATCCCAAGGCCTCTGTGGTTCCATGACCACAGGACCACGTGTTTTCTCTGTTTCCCTCGTGAGCCCTTCTGACATCCTCCAGTTACATTCACATCACTTCTGTTGCCACAACTTGTCTTTTCTATTTCCACTCTGTAGCATCCTCTCCTCTCCACTCACAGCTACCACCCTACGTCAGGCCTTCATCATCTCTCATCTGAACTATTGCATAAATTTCTGGTTGATTTCTTCCCAAAATCTCTTCGCTTTCCAATTCATCCTCCACCTTGCTGCCACAATGAATTTTTTTTTTTAAGGGAGAGGTCTGACTACATCCCCTCACATTCCATTTGGGATTTTTATTTGTTAATCCAGAAGAATGAGGTTGCAGCTAAATTAGAGGATGGCCCACTGGCACTTTTGAAAGAGGAAAGGAAAGGAGTTGGCATTTGGGTTTTATATTACCGGAGACAATAAGAAACATTATTTCATTGAATATTTATTCAATACATATTATAATGCTGATAAGTATTTGCAAAAAAGACAGCTGCTGAGCAGCAGAGAAATTCTACAGTGATAATCATTTAAGATCAACTGAGCCCCAATAAGGGCCAAAAACTGAATTAATCTTTTCTCCCTGAGTGAACTAAAAATGCCCCTTCCTGTGTCAGGAACTGTGGGACCAGCTGGACCATTCTTCCTGTTTGGGATCACTAAGGACAGGATGCTTGGGACTAGACATGGCCTTGAATAGTGGGACTTTTCTTATCTTGGTATCCTATGGACATATGTAGGGGAAACGCAGATATCCTGGATCTATAATTTCAATGGACACTTTGATATTCTCCTATTTTATTGTATTTACAACCTATTCAACTAAGAAACTTCCTTTCCCATGCTATATGTTAAAAACATATGGAGGCTATATTTTTTTTTTGAGCAACACAGACATCCTGAGTCAGGGTTTAAATGTCCTCCTAAAATTGCTTGATTCAGAGTTAAAGCTCTGGCTCCATGTACATATCGCTAACTTAAGGGAATAAATAATATGAATTTACTTATCACCTAGCTCGTTGCCTCTTTAACCAACTTTCCGATGAAAAGTAATGGTGCCATGACTTCAGATGGAACTGAAGGAGTAGGTGAAAACAACAACCCACCACGGCAACTCTAGTGGCTCGGGTGCCTCAGGATCCATTTTTTTTCCTGGAGTCCTAACCCATCCCTTGGTGGGGTGGGTAAATTGTTCTATTCCCCGCTTCCAAGGACCTCCCACTAATTTGGTTGAAGTCTGAAAGAAAATTCCCTTTAAGCAAGCTCTGGGGTCAGGATCAAGTCAAGGTTCAGAAACTCTGGCTACTGGTAAGGATCGATCTAGGATGGGTCAATCAGAAACAAAAATTAGAAATCTGGCTAACAAGACCACCACAAAAACTAACACTAAAAATCCGGCTAACAAGACCACCGCCTCTTATATGTCAAGCCATTACAATCGGATGACCACAAATATTGCCAACTCTAATGTCAGTTAACTAAAGATAACCCCAAATTATGTTGACCACAATAGGGGTTCTTTTGACTGGTCAAAGTTACTTTATCTCAAAACCAAATTAAGTTTAAAGGCCAACAAAACACCTAGCCAGAAGTGGGAGTGTTTTCATCTTTGGTTGCTGAAATGGCTGAGGGAGAAGGAAAGGCAAAAGAAGCTTCTTCCCTCAAACCTTGCAAAGCCACTTCAGCACTCTTTCCCAGGCTCCAATTAATTCCTTTCCCCTCCCTTTCCCTTAAAAGCTATCCCTGGTCCTGAGAGGGACTCAGATCCCTGAACTTAACTTCATTGGGACTTGCCCCTTTAAATGTACAACATCAGGGGCACTCTGAGGAAGGCTCAGAAGATCCAGTTACACTATCAGGTCTTGGATCCTTGCAAATTCCCCAACCCCGATTCCTCAGAATAATAATAGCCAATTCCGGTTGCGAGTTTTCTAACAAGCCTCTAATTCCCTCTCTCTCTGTCATTAAGTGCTCACTATGTTTGTATTGTTTTTCTTCTGTCAGTTTGTCTGTCAGTGTATGTCTCTGTGTCAGTATCATGTGCTCTGTGAGTGAGTCTATTACCTTGTAAAATTTAAAATGAAAGCAGCCAGAGACTTCTAAGGGCTGCAGCTAGGAAAACAACAAAGCTGTAAGATTTCTTTCCTTGTGGTTTCAGCCCTGGCCAGCCTAGATCTACAGTGAAAAGTGAGATACAGCTAAAGACATCTTAGCAGATTATGGAGGTTTTGAGATTAATCATTAAGAAATTAGGTAATTGGTCATTTTGGGATTGTTGGAGAAAACTGAGACTGGGGGTAATTTCCAGGGGCTCACCCTCTGCTAAAACACCTCCTCCTAATCCTGATTCCTCAGCATTCTCCCACTCCTTCCTCAGAGATAAACATCTCAATATGGGATTGTAAAAGAGAAGAGAATGCTGGAGAATTGTAGGGAAAACTTAAATCAGCCTTCCCCATCTAGCAAAAGGAGGGGAGGGGAAGCTACACAGACTAGCAGTGATAGTCTGCTTCAGCCCTGTGCCCCTGGGCACCTTGCAGCCCACCCCTCTAGGCAAGGCCTGGGAGTAACATCCAGGTTCACCACATTCTGCCCACCCTGCCCCAGCAGCTGCAATGGCACCAGCCTCAGTAAATTCTGCAGCTGTGGGGAGGGGAGAGGTGGACAGGTCAGAACTGTGATGAGATTCCCTAAGCCCTGCCACCAAGAATTATCACCACTGGGGAGGCACTGGCATCAGCCACCTGAGCCCCTGGCAATAGCATTATGAGGTGAGAAGCCAACTTCTGCTCTTGGGAAGCCCCATACTTCTCTGTTCCAGTTGCAGAAATGTGTCAACTTTGTAATTTATGGCTAGCTATTGTATCTGTTTGCCTTGTTTCCAGATTTGTAAAGGGAAAAATAATAATGGTTGTTGTTATGGGATCAAAATGATATAATGATTGTAAAGTGCTTAACACAATGGCATATGTTAGAAAACATTATTATTATCTCCCTAATTTTATGTAATTGTTCCACACCTGATAACTTTGAAGTGGTTTTTAAATACCAAGAGTAATAAGATCAATAATTTCTATATGTGATAATCTGGAAATGCAACTGATGTCATCTAAAGTTTATGCTTTGTGTTATTACTATATTTCTAAATTGTATTGTATTTCTAAAACTCTCTTAGATTGTAAAATTTGAGAGACAATTGTGAGGTAGAAATGGTGCATATGGATTAGTCTTTTAAAAGGATGTGATAAAATTTGATAATTTGAAAACTTAACATTTAATGAAGTATATTTGGTTATAAGCAGGTCATAATAATACTGATATTTACTATGATAGCACATTTTTCATTTGAAATTTTGACAATTATAAAAATATATGGTGGTTTAAAGTTATAGTTTCAATGTATTAATGATGAGATGAATGATTCTCTGTGCAAAGTGATTTAGAAGTGCATTCATCTAATGGGTTGTGTCAAAATTTATTACTGTTGTGGAAGTAATGCCTGTTTATACTGTGTGTCCTGTGGTACAAACATATTTTATTGTGAACAACTTATTGATATGCACTGTTTGGAATTAATTAGGTATTCTCCCATATATCAGGGCTTCAATTAGAAAAAAAAATGTGAATTTATGGATAATAATTTTTTCCTTTAAAGGCTAAGGGTATTGGGCCTTAGAAATTAAAATGTTACTATTAATGATTATAAATCCAGATCTGATTTGCTCATCTAGCTAAATCAAGGTCACCTGATGGTAATTAATTGGTTCTGTTTCAAGTTTTAAATATATGACAATTGCTTGTGGTATGGTTATATTTCTAAATTTTCTTATATGGTGTCATCTGGTAAACAAATTGTATCAGCTATGTTGTTGAAAAAGCATTTCTCTTATGATCTAGAGATATTAGATCAAGAATTGTACCCCCTCCAAAAAAAATAGGGGAGAATGAATGGGTTAGAATAAACTTCCAAGTTTTGTCTATATGTAAGAGGAAGTTTCACCTAAAATTCTTATCAACTCTGTGCAAAAGTTTCCTGTGTTGTGGAATTCCTGAGTAAATGAGAATCCTTGGGAAAAATATAGGGGTGTGATTTTTAAGCCTGAAAGATACTGAGTAAATTTTTTAAAGGCTTGATAATATTTGTTATTGTGATAAGGCAAATTTAATTGGTATGTTTTTCATGGCTTATAAAAACTGAATTTCTTTTCTATTGCAAACACCTTTTTGACTAAGGAACTTTGTGATATCTAGGAATTCTGTAATAACTAGGAATTTAGTTTGTTATACTACTTTGGGAATTTATTTATGTTACTCAAGGACATTTTACATCAGCTTAGTTTTAATGAATTCCAATTTTTTTGGTTTGTTTGTTTATTTATTTGTTTGTTTGTTTTTGTTTTAGGCAATTGGGGTTAAGTTACTTGCCCAGGGTCACACAGCTAGTGTCAAGTGTTTGGTCTGAGGCTGGATTTGAACTCAGGTCCTCCTGATTTCTGGGCCAGCACTCTATCCACTGCG